AATAAATGGTTTGAACATAAGGAAGAAAAAACAACCAATCAGAACAAGAAGAAAAAAGAATCCAAAAATATGAAGATAGTATAAGCAGCCTCTGTGACAACTTCAAGAGGCCTATCATTTGCATCATAGGGGTGCTAGAAGGAGAATAGAAAGAGCAAGATGTTGGAAATCTATTTGAAAAAATAATGAAAAAAAACTTTCTAATTTGGTGAAGGAAATAAGCATACAATTCCAGGAAGCTCAGAGAGTCCCAAACAAGATGGATGTACAAAGTCCCACTCCAAGACACATCATAAGTAAATGCCAAAGGTTAAAGGTAAAGAGGGAATCAGCCCTGGCTGGTGTGGCTCAGTGAATTGAATGCTGGCCTGCAAACCAAAGGATCGTAGGTTTGATTCCCAGTCAAAGCACATGCGTGGGTTGCAGGTCAGGTCCCTGGTTGGCGGGTGTGTGAAAGGCAACCACACATTGATTGTTTCTCTTCTCTTTCTCCCCTCCTTCCTCTCTAAAAAGAAATAAATAAATAAAATCTTTTTTAAAAAAGAAGAGGGAAAGCAAGGAGTGAGGGAGGAAGAAAAAATAAACAATACCAAGGAAAGAGAAGACTCCATTGTCTTTGATCATCTTTGCCTGTGTGGTGAAACACAGTTGACCCTTCTAATATTTTAACACCGTCATAAAAATGTAAAACATTTAGAGAGATTTCAAGTTTATATTAGGAACAATTTTTAATAATTAAAACTATTCATCAGCAGACTTGGCTGTGTAATTTGTTGTCAGTCATCCCTGGAAAGGGTTAATTGAGGTTAATTGACCTCTGGAGTCACTTCCATCTCTGATTCTGTAAACCTGACTTTTAAGTTTATGTCATTCTTTCCCTTTTGAAACTGTTAAGATACAGTTGATTGCCAAGTAAACAGTTATTCGTTTAACAAATATTTATAGGGAGCCAGGAAAGTAGGACAGTATAATTTACAGTGTAGTGAGGGAGAGAAGTGGCAGGAACAGAGGAGACTAAAGAAATAATTACAGTGTAGTATAATAAATGACTGAGTGACTGAGCTATGTTCAGAGGCTCTCAAGCACAGGAGTTAACTCTGGGGAATTGAGGGCAGACTTCATAGAAGGGACACAAGAGCTGATTCTTTAAAAAACTGTAAACAAATACAGATTTATCGTTCACCCTATAGCAGCAAAAGTTGCATGGCACATCCAATAAACCTATCTGTAGAGATGGATATTAAATAGAGCAAGGAGATTCTCTATTTGTAAAGACGTGGAGCTTCTCTATTTGTAAGTAATATATGGAACTGTCTTCAAAAGATAATATTAGGTGAATAAAACCAGAGTACAGAAATATGAACATAAAATATCTTCACTATTTTTGTGGTAATATAATTTTTATCGACTCTTAGGAATTTATTTGGCTGCAGATAAAAGGACTCTAACAAACAGTACTTAAAGAAGTGCTGTGTTTACTTTTCTCAGAAAACAAAATGTCTAGAAATGGGCACATCAGAGCTGACTTAAAGAGGTCATGAGGGCCCAGTCTCCTCCATTCCTCACCGTTCTGTGGTTGGGAGCCCTATTTAGGATCCTTAGGTCTCTGCTGAGCCTCCAGGCAGTTGGGCAGTATTCTGGACAGCAAGAAGGGGTAAGCCCAAAAGGCCAAAGGAGCACAGCAGCCGAATTTGTCCCCTTATATCAAGAACTCAGTAGATTTCTCAGAAACTTTACCCACGGAACTTCTACTTACATCCATTGGCCAGACTGTGCTGCATGATCACTTCTAGCCTCAGGGGATTTTGGGGAGGTGAGAGTTTTTAAATGAGTACATTGTCACTCCAAATATAATCAAAGGTGTGTTGGTAGTGAGGACGGAAAGAGTGAATAGGTAACTAGCAGTGTCTGCCATCCTTATTTCTAAAGCTAAGAATGCTAAAAATCTTGGAGAAATGTTGGAAGAAAATGGATAAAAACACATGAGATTGTTTAACATACAATTGAAAGAAAGTAATTTGGTGAAAATTCCTGTGAAAACATCAATTAATCCTCTGGGTTACATCCAAAGTGGTAATTGCTTCCTTACTCTGATTACTTAACATAAGTGGTATTCATCTGTGGCTCTTTTTCAATCAAGATTTAGCATAAAAAATACTGAAATGTATGTGCATAAATGACCTTTATTTAAGATAATTTTTTAAATCTGGTACTTTGAAAGTTGACTGGATTGCTTTAGATGGCTAAAATAGGAATAAGATAATGAGAAGAAAATATTCCCGTGTCTTTCATACTGCTGCTTTGCTGCACACAAAATAGACTCTTGCACAATGTGATCCAGGTTGTTTATCTGATGATAAATCTTAGAAGTTAAGTGCACAGTTCTAGGTAGAGTTACAGGACGGATTTCAAGGTGACCAATCATTCTATTTCTATCTTCTATAGAAAAGTAGGTACCAATGATAGCAATAATTTGGTCTTTTCTAAACTATTAACTGCCAAGTAATTTTTTAACCCTCAAATCTTAGAATTTTAGAATTAAACATTGAATTTTAGAACTGAAATCCCTTAATCTCAGAACTGGAAGGAACTGTTTTTCCAGTTCCTGTCATTCCAGTAGTGAGGAAACCAAGTGTCTGAGAGTCTGAAGGATTTGCCCACAGACCAAGGTTATAGGTGAGATTAGAAGTGTTATCTAGATTCTTTATTGGACTGATTCTCTTGGTTTGGTTCTGACCAAATGATTTGGAAACAACTTGATTACTTTTCCCAGTTACTATGAACAAAAGAGTCAAGTCTGCTCATAATACACTTTCTCCAGAAAAATTCTCTGCTGTGGTGCTAAGGATGAAAGTGGCACTATTTCTGGTGGGCACACACTGGTGTTGGTAACATTGGTAATCTAGCCCCCCACCCCATCTACTAATTTACTATTCAGTAGGTAAATACACACTTTAAATAGTCATTGGTCACTCTAACAGAGACTCTGAGTTCCAGCCTTGTCCTGTATAAACAGAATGTTCTTGATCCAATGTTGAACCTCTCCAGTCGTGCTATAATTAGAATCACAAGTAGATACTGTAAATGAAAGTTCTTTGTAAATGGTGAGTATGGCACAGATGATGGGTTTTCATTTTTATTATCACCCTTGTTTGTTGTTTCTGGCCATGTGGCTTTTAAAGATTGCTATTTATTTAATGAATGCTGTTTTATGATTACTGATGTCTTTATTAAAAGTCCACAGTCATTCATTTTCATCCTTAGGGTAACTCAAAACAACTACAGCTTGTTGCTTGCCTGGTTATTATGTGCATAAACTGAACTGCATGGAAGATTTATCCAATGCTTAACCTATCTTGAGTTTTATACTTGCCCATAATCACATTGTTCAATTTTTGTGAAATGTAACAATACAGATTTATATAGTGAATGGGTTTGCAAACTAGAAAACATTTGCAGGGTTCTAATAAAATATGTTTTTATTCCTTTCATTTAGTTGTTCTTTTAAAGGATAACATTAAATGTTAGTTCCTTTTACAAATATATTTTCCATTAACTTTTCAGTAGTCTTATATGTCGTCATCCTTGGTGATTTTGGTGGGAGGGCATGTAGTGAGGTTTAAATCTAAACCATGAATTTATTCTTCTTTTGTATTTAGGATTAAATAAGGTAATGTATAAAAGTAATTCGCATAATGTCTGGCACAAATTACATTCCCACTTATATTGGAGTTCTATTAGATACTAGTACAGATTCTCAGAAATCCTAAAGTTACAGACATAGTAAAGTTACACTGAGGACAAAGTAAAGAGAATGTAAAGGGTAGTCCTTGACTGGCCAGCTCTGGGAATCCTGGTGACTGGTGAGGCAGAGAGTGGGGAATGTTATCGAGAAGAAAGGTGTCATGGTCTGCTTACATGTAGATGCCAAACTACTTTATTAAAAACTTTCTGAAAGTCTTTTTGCAAGGGCACTGGACTCAAAGCTGCCCCAGACCAGCAGCTGTACTTGTTACAGTTCTGTCTTTAGCTTTGCAATGTTTCCCTTGGCCCAAAACATCTTAAGTCTTTTCTGAGTTCAAAGCATTCAGCAAAAAAGGGCAAGGCACAGCCATCACAAATGTATACCTGATTTTTATGACATATATGGTAATGCTGTATTAGCTAGTGGAGACACTATATGGACTTGTACAGCATACAAATTGGACTACAGTGGAACCTGTCCCCTTTTGGCAGAGTTACCCAAAAGGAATGAAGAGATCAGTAATCATCTCAGCTGGTGTAATAGTGAATTGTTTTAAAACCAACTCAAAATTGATGCCAAGTAAAAGGACTGTGTACCCAATAAATATAGAACGATTAAAGAAATAAAGTACATTTGAAACCTTAAAAAAAAAAAAGCAACAAACTTCAAAATGCCAAGTGAAATAAGTCATACAGTAGAGAAAGACAGATACCGTATGATCTCACTTATATGTAGAATCTAAAAACAACAAAAACCTGAACTCATCAATACAGGGAACAGATTTGTGGTTGTCAGAGGCAGGGGCGTTGGAAGTCGGTGAAATGGGTGTAGGTGGTCGAAAGGTTATCACAAACAAACTCTAGTTATAAAATAAATAAATCATGGAAATAGATCATGTTCTACAGCATGGTGATAATGGCTTAAAATGCATTGTACATTTAAAAGGTGTTAAGGGAGTAGATCTTAAAAGTTCTTATCAGAAGAAAAAATGTATAATTGTATGTGGTGATAGGTGTTGACTAGACTTACTGGGGTGATCATTTTACAATGGATATAAATGTTGAATCATTGTGTTGTATGCCTGAAACTAATATAATGTTATGTACCATTTATACCTCAATTACATGAAGTTATTATAAAGAAACAACCTAAAGAAAACTAATCTAAAAATATTTTATTGTCGAAAATTGAAGTCTGGTATTAGTGATAAGATAGTATTCTTGACTTTCTGACAAGCTTTACCTTTATGTTTTAGTCAAAGAAGTTTGGCAGAGATCACAGAACTTATCCATACCGCTCTCCTTGTACATCGTGGGATAGTAAATTTAAGTGAATTGCAGTCTTCTGATGGGCCACTGAAAGACATGCACTTTGGAAATAAAATAGCTATCTTGAGTGGAGACTTTCTTCTAGCAAATGCCTGCAACGGACTAGCTCTGCTACAGAACACCAAGGTAAAACTGGGCAGGGCTTGCTTGTGTCTGCCTGTAGGCGACTCTGGGTCGGCTGCAGCAGCCACAGAGGCGGTGCACCCTGCAATCCCCACTCCCCGTATGTAGACGCTCTGGGAAGCCGTGAGGATGGTGAGGGGGCAGTGTCAACACCAGAGAAAACCGGAAAGTGCTAGGAAAGAATTTTGAAGTTTCTGTTTTTTTCTGGTTACGGATGAAATTATTTGTTAATTATAGGATAGAGTTAAATAGTCAATATAAAGAAGATATTAAATCTTACTATCCAGAGATAATCACTGTTAGTTAATATTTTCATGTATTTTCCCCGTCTCTTTTGTTTATTTACTCATACCTGTATATATGTGGATTTTTTAGTAACAGGTGAAAATTTGCATGTATAAGGGGTTTTTTAATCCTGCCTATTTTTCCCCATTTCATATTATGATGTGGGCATTTTCATATTATTAACTTTTTCATAAACTTTTTCATGGCTGTACAATATTTAACTATTTAGATATAATATTTATTTAACAAAGTTCTCATTTTTAGACATTTCGATTGCTTCTAATTTTTGCTATCATAAATAGATCTTCAGTAAACATCTTTACACATCTATTTTTCTCATTCCAGGTTATTTGTTTACGATAAATACCTCGAAGTGGTTCATAGGGTTTGAACATTTTTAGTATTTCTGATACATGTTACCAAGCTGCTTTCCAGAAAAATTTAAAGGCGTTTCTTATCTATCGGTTAGGATTAGGTGTGGCTATAAAACAACAGTGGCTGAAACAAGATGGGAGGTTTTTTCCTTCTGTAAAAGCATCTAGCAGTAGGTAGTCCAAGGCTGGCATGATGATTCTACAGTCGGGAACCCAGGCTTCTTCTTACTGCTTGCCATCCCTGTCTTACTACTTTGTATCCCAGGAAGGCTGCCATTGTGTTCTCACTCCAGTAAATAGGAGGGAGGAGAAGGAAGGGCAGAGAAAGGCAGATCCTCTTCCCTTGAAGGTCAAGTGAATGTACATCCTGGTTGCTAGGGTCAGTCTCAGTGTAAGTCTGCTGTCCCAGAATCCCATCTGACTTAACATTTGTCCTGGATTTTTTACTTTTTAACAGAGTAATCATCAAAAATTGTATTAGAATAAATCACCATTGATTTATTCTAGATCTTTCTAGATTTCCACTTTACATTTCCAGCCTTTGCCTCAGTTTTTTTTTTCTAGTGTAGTATGTGAAACCCATGTACAGTGGATAGTTCTGTTAAGGTGTAATGTTAAATCTGAAAGACAACCAGCATTAACTCATCTCTTTTCCCCACCCTTTCAGATACCTCCAGTTAAGGAGAGAATGCAGGGCAATTACTGATAGTGAATATCTTGGGACAGTTTACTCCTTTGACTCAGGTGGTGGGAGAAGCATTTGACACTGCTACGCCATTGGCCACTTGGTGTATCTATCCAGTATACTGTGGCCCATGCATGGCCTTTAAGAACCACAAGGCCATCAGGTACCAGTCCAAAAACTCAGTGGGAAACAAAGGAAGTTAGAGGTTTGGCATCTATGAAACACGTGTGGGAAATCAAGGCGGTGTGGAGTGAATAACAAGTAGATTGAGCATGCTTGCTTGTGTAATGTAGAGCTATGACTACCTGTATTTTGCCATGTATAACATATAAGTTTTTGACCAAATTTTTGAGGGAAAAATAAGGATATGCATGGGTAGTACTAATTCCATATCTATATAAATGTTTTTAATTCTTTTATTTATGATTATGCATTAAAAGTATAACTCTAGAAAGCAATAACAATATCCTTATGCAAAATAATACATTGGAATACGATAATAAGTTTTGTTTCTAAATATAAGTAAATAAATAATTGAATTTAAAAATTAAAACAAAAGTTTTTTTTCCTGAAACTTTGGGCCAAAAACATGGGTGTGCATTACACACCTCAAATGGTATTTGAGTATTTGGCAACACTTTGTTTCTGCAATAAAGCTTTGGCAGCAATAAGCTCAAAAAATAAAAGTATATATTTCATTTTTTTAAAAAATACTGGATTGTTGTTTCTCGAGAGAGTTACTAAGGAATTGTGTAACTTGTACAAAATGTTTGTTGACATTTCCTGTCCATTGTGGTGACCTTGGTGGTGTCACTGAACTCATGAAAACACAGGAGTCAAATCTGCTGAAAAAGTGCCCAGGGCAGCTTCCAAAGTTAGTGGTTACTTTAGGAAGAATTCTGAAAGTGATGACGTAATGCATGCTGCTTCAGAAGGTATATAAGCATTCCACTCTGTGAAGTCTAACTTTTATTTAGATAAATGACTGTTCTTCTAAATTAATTTTACTCCCTTTCAACTTTAAGTTTTTTCATGCACATGGGAAAAGGGAATCAATAGCATTATGTTTTTAGATTCATTGGTAGAAGAACTTGCAAATAGTTAAATAATTCTTGTTTTAGTTGAGTGTCATCAGGTACTTCAAGTTACTAAATTATTTTAGTTAATTCTAAAAATATTTGTTTTCTCCATCCATTCATGAAATTAAGGTAAAACTTTTGGGAGTATATTCTAAAGTCATTATAAGTAAAATTGGAAATTGAGTTTAAAGCTTCAACATCTAAGATAAAATTATTTGTTTGTAATAATAAAAGTACAAATTTTGCTGAAGCACACACAGTGTTGTGGTGAAAACAATGTTCGTACTATACTGAGAACCCTGTGGAGTAGTTGGGATTGGTTGTGGCATATCCATGATTCATGGTGGCATCCAAACAAGTGTCAACATTCTAGTAATTGAAATAGAAGCTATTGTTATAAAAATGTACAAACATCTTTACAGCGAGAGTGTCTGGACTCTAAGATTTGGGGACGTAGCTGGTGTCAAATACAGAAATGCGCTCTAGCACAGGTGTATGTGCCTTCTCTCTTTGTTGCCATCATTGGTCAGATTTACAAACCTTTATATCCAACAATGGTATTGAATTTTGTCATGAGTCGTTAAAATTTTGGTGCCATTTTGTTCAAAACCAGTGGGAAATCTTATAGTGAATTCAAGAAATGGAACAACAAATTAGAGAATTACAATGAATAAAAGGCTTCCATTGGGATTTTTTCATACATAAGCAAAGAAGGAATGGAACAAAATAAATAGTAAGAATTAAAATGCTCCACAAGAATAAAATTTGCATTTCTATAGTTGTGATTTGGAGTATCTTACCTTGCAGGAAGAATCTTTTGGTAGTGCTTCTCTTTTGAATAAATTATACATTACACATGAATGAAATAAAATTGAGAAGGCCCAGATTTTGTAGCATCTGATTTTGGTGAAACATTTAAAAGAGTCATAAGATATGATTTATTTAACAAGTTTTTTCTTGTAAAAATATTTGTCGAAGAAAGGTACTCTTAAGCAAACAGGTAGTATCTTGAAAATATTCAAGCTGAAATAGTTATACTTTTCTATATGAAAAAATTAGAATTGAGTGTCTCCTCCATTTACAAAAGAGCTCTGAGCTTACCAGGTAACTCAGAACCTGTAGAAGAGCATTTTCTCAGTTTAAAACATTATGGTCCGTTATGGCCCACATAGCTCAGTTAGAGCATCATCTCATGGACCTAAAAGTTGTGGGTTCTATTCCTGGTTAAGGTGCATACAAGAGGCAACAGATGTTTTTCTCACATTGTTGTTTCTCTCCTCTCCCCTTTTAAAATCAATAAGCATGTCCTCAGGCATGGATATAAATAAATAAATATGTGTGTGGGTGTGTATAATGATCTATGAATCAGAATCAATTGAAGGCATCAATAATTTCAAATTAATCCTAAAATGCAGCTATGAAGAATATTGCTAGCAGTTTTATTTTAAAATACCACATTTTTAAAATTACATTTTTTCAGAAAAATGGCAGGGACACAATATTAGGGAAAGATAAGACTGAGAAATTAAAGCATGTGAATGTATACCAAGAATAATTATTTTACTGACAATTTTTTATATTCAGCTCACCAATATGAAGTTCTTCTTTTATTTTATTTTACTGTGTATGAATATATGTTATTTTTATTTCTTTTGAAATTTTATTTTTGCAGATAGTTTTTGAATACAACCAGTTAACAAGTCTACCAATATAAGTATATATTTCAAAAAGTATAATATTTTAATAATTTTACCACATTCTTTTACTCTCAAATGTCCCAGTTTAGATGATAAATTATATAATGTCACCATTTTAAAGCCATTTCTAAGGAGTTATTCAAGATCCTTCTGCTTACATCTTATTGTCAGAATTTAATGCATGGGCACACCTAGCTGTACGGGAGGCTAGGAAGTGTACACGTTACTATGGGTAGCCATATGTCCAGCCACAATTCTGGAAGACATAGGGAGATGAGATCATGAGAGACAAGGAGCTTTTGTGTCCTGCCTTCCCATCACACTTTTGGCTAGCACATATTTTTCATGAAACAGACCTGCTGGGTTTTAGGGAGAAAATAGGAAAAAAACCTTGAGAACGGGCTGCGAACCAAAGTGTCACAGGTTCAATTCCCAGTCAGGGTACATGCCTGGGTTGTAGGCCATGACCCCCAGCAACCGCACATTGATGTTTCTCTCTCTTTCTCCCTCCCTTCCCTCTCTAAAAAAATAAATAAATAAACAAACAAATAAATAAATAAATAGAATCTTAAAAAACAACCTTTAATACATAATATATATTTACAATGAAAACAAAGCTAAAGGAAGAAATGAATCACCATATAAATGGATCCTCTCAAATATCCCTCCAGAGATTTATTACCATTTGGCATTCCTTTCCTTTTTATTCACTCTCAAATTATTCTATTTTCTATGTTTATAGTCTATGTTGATGGGTCTCATTAAATTCTCTCCTTTCTTGGAATTTACATGTTAGTGGAAGGTTAGTGATCCGTTGTCCCTGGAAGCCACTCTCTGACTGCACTGTCCATCTTTCCTCTTTACCATGCCTGCTGTGGTCTGT